TGTGTTTGTGTTTGTGTTCGTGTTTGTGTTTGTGTTTGTGTGTGTGTGTGTGTGTTTGTGTGTGTGTGTTTGTGTGTGTGTGTGTGTGTGTGTGTTTGTACGTTTGTGGTGTTTGTTTGTGTGTGTATGCGCGTTTGTGTGCGCGTGTGTGTGTGTGTGTATGTGTTTGCTTCTGTGCGTGTGTATTTGTGTGCTTGTGTGTTTGCTTGTTTGATTGCTTGCTTGATTGTTTGTTTGTTTGTTTGGTTGGTTCGCTGGTTGGTTGGTTGGTTGGTTGGTTGGTTGGTTGGTTGGTCGGTCGGTCGGTCGGTCGGTCGGTCGGTCGGTGGCTTGCTTGCTTGCTTGCTTGCTTGCCTGCCTGCCTGCCTGCCTGCCTGCCTGCCTGCCTGCCTGCCTGCCTGCCTGCCTGCCTGCCTGCCTGCCTGCCTGCTTTCTTGTTTGTTTCGCGCATGTGCTCAGGCCTCCAAGCTCGCAGGCAACACCAGTGCAGTTTCAGAAAGAAGTCACGCTTTCTGGGCAGGTGACGAAGAACCAACAAGCCGTAGCATGGAAGATAGGCGGAGCGAAAGATTCAAGCTCTGTTGAAGCAAAGCTGCGAGATGATACCCATAATCATCAAGTAGCTCTTCGAAAGCAGATAGTGAACAGTGAAGCATGTGTCCAGGACGCCCCTCCAAGACACCTAAGTCTGCCAGACTTGCTGCAGCATGTGGGGAAGGTTCAAACGAGGGCAGCAGGAATAGCAGCCGCCACATGTCATGCCCAAGCACTCAGCGAGAGCATCGAGTCCCCAATGCTGGGATCGAAAAAGACCGGCCTCCAGCTGAGAAAACGTTGCTAAGCCACTTCAACCACTTAAGCTGCAAAGGGCCTGTACACAAGGGGTGGAGGAACCAGCGGATGCACTTCCACATGAATGAGAAGAGGTCGGATTCCAGCTTTCAGAACATCTTCCACAAAGCAGCAGTCGCAGTTGTCCACGTCAACCTTGTCAAGGCGGTCGTTGCTTGGCCCCAGCCACACTTGACAGAGACGGCAGCCTTGAGCCACTGTGGAGATGATGGGCCATGGTGTGCTTGATACTCCAGGATGCGCTTGGTTGCAATACCCGGATCCACGAAACCAAAATGAAGTTCCACATCCTCAGATAGGTCCATATGTGATGTATGGCTAATCAATACTGACCTCGTCGAGGCGGATCCCTATGCAACGACAACCACCACCACCTATTAGATTCGATCTTTGCCGCACTAAAGCCTGTAAACTCCAGCCGCATACTTGAGCCTGGCATCTGTACGATTTTCCACGAGGCTTTGGAGGTCGTGGAGGCGCCTGTCGTCACCCTCGAACACCAAACCTCCAAATCCTTGGTTAATAGGCCTATCAGGACGCCTCACAGCAACAACAGACAGCTTTTCACGTCCCACAACGCCAGTGTTTGAAGTTCCGGCTTTGGGCCGCGACGTGTCGCCACAAAAACTGTCAACTGATTGGCCCTTTGACTGTTTGAGCTGAAGCCACCTTCCCGAAGCAAGCAGTTCGTCGGGTCCGACATGCCGAAGAGTCCCCGTGCGAGATTATCCTGTCGAACGACGTCCTGGCCACAAGAGCCATCCCCGGCACCCAGGTTCACGACCCAGCGCTGCCATTCCTCAGCTCAGGTTGCGCGATGAAACCTCTCTGAAACCATAGATCTGCCAAGCTTCGGCTGGCAGCTGGCTGGGGAGCCGCGGCCTCTCAAAGGAGTCATACCTCGATTCTGGTGACCCATGGTATGGCCCCAAGACTTACAAGTCCGTGCCACTAAGAACGCTGACGAAGTCGGAAGGACAAGATGGATCGCACTTTGGCAGTACCGGCATGCGGTTCTGGCGATTGTTATTTGGTTATCATGCATTGCGTGCCAAAGATATGCTTTGGTGTTAAGGCGAGGCGTGCGAGGAAGGGGACAAATGAAACTGCCTGCGTAACGCAGTGCCTCGTCTCATCACTCGGCACGCTCCAGTTCATGCGTTCAAAGCCGGCTGTCCATGCTGGCGAGTTATGATGCAGCCGAGATGCCACTTCAACAGGTCCGTGCGGTTGCACACACCGAAGGTGTGAGAGACTGGAGCTGTCCACCTAATGAGGATTTCGCCAGAGGCACACGGGCATCTTGGGACTCCACGTCCCTCGTCCATTCAACTCCTTTTCCACAAACTGAGACTCACGCCGGGGAATCCAGAACGGCACCAAGCCGGCTGCAGCGCCACCAGCATGGTCGCCGAACAGGTTTGATGCCGGATAGATGGCCTGCCCAGGGCGCACGAATTTCAAGGTGTAAGTAGATTATCAAAGTCACCCCAGTTTTAGCACTCACAACCAGCCGCCTGACGACGCAAAATGTCGTGCGTCTCGAAAGTAGTCACGTGCGCAGTGTCGTAGCCTTACTGAGCCCAAGTAACTGTCGCCATTGAACGACCTGCCCGAAAATTGCAGATGCAGGGCAAGGGTGCCGCAGTCGACGAAGGTCATCTTCACTTGAAAGGATCTGCATTCCAAGCTGTGCAGCCGCCTGCGTCATGTGTGCCTCAGTTCACCGCAGCAATGCACAAACAAGGTCCAGCCTGTCCAACTGCCCATGACCAGTCGTGCAAAGTCAAGCAGGGAACATCCAATCGAAACACCTTCTTGACCTCCTGCGGCAAACACCAGGCCAGATCGCAGCCTAGAACAATCGAGTTTATGTCATGTCAAGGCCTCCTGAAAAGCCCAGCACACGGGTACGACAGTCAGGGCTTCCTCTTGGATGCCACCAGGAAAGCAAGACCTGAAAGCTGCAAAGCATTCCTTGGTCTGATTCTGCTTTCGGCAAGTGAGTTGCACGGGGTTGGGGCGGCTGTCAAAAATTGGGCGCACTAGCCGGTATATGCCGGTATGCAGAGATCCCGATCCCCATCTCAGTGTCTTTTGGCCCGCCTGTCCCTACACATCACTCCCTCGACAGATACAGTACCCTCCCTCGGACCTGCCTGTCTTAGCTGCTCAAGCGTCCTAAAATGCCATGCAGCTCAGCTTCCAAGTGAGACATTGTCTCATAGAGTGTGCCCCAAGCCTCCCACCGCTCTGGTGCATAGTATCGTGTAGCTGCCCGCCACATCGTCTTGCTTTGATAGGCCGTCTCCTAGCAGGTGACCGCAACATCATCGAAAACATGCCTTTCTGACTCATGACGATTTCTGGCCACCCCTTGCAGCCGCCATACGCCCTGGAACTGCTCGAACAGCTCGAACAAAGCGAAGTACGTTCAGGACTTTCACACAATTACTTTGATAAAGTTTCAGCAACTTCGAACAGTCCTGCAGCAGAGTTCCGTAACGTTTGCGAGATGCTTCGAGGGAGCAGTGACTAGCATCGTGCGATGACTGGATGGGTATGTCCAATGTCTCATCCTGGGCTCGTCGGATATGCGCAACTGCAGTCCCATCCCGCCCCTGCCATCGAACAATCCAAGCCAAAATCAAAGTCGCCGAAGAGTCGCTCCACATGCAGGCAGGTCACGCTGAATTTGTATGGTGGGCAGAAAGGTCTGTGCGCAGGTCCACCCGATACTGCCAGTGCAAACGCAGGGGCAATCAGCGGCAGTGGACGGACAGGCATTCCACGCTGCAGGACATTGCAACCGCAAGACCAAAATCTTCGGGCCGCAACTCAAGGCTGCGGAAGGCATGTGGCCAAGCACGTTAAGGACGACGGCAGCGTCAGGCACGCTGGTATGCAATGGAATTACTATAGTACCTGATGAAGGCTAGATTAAGCTATGTAGAACAAGACTGGTTGTGAATTGAACAAACGTGCTGATTTTTCGGGCGCATGTCGGTCACACAGTAAAGTCCAGCAGATTCGCATAGTCGTACTCGTAGTCCGCATCCTGACTATACTCACCCCCCCAAGCCCCTCCACAAGCCTATCGCTGACACATTGACACACTTGTCACTTCTGCATGATGCGCTTGGCATCTTATTTCTCCAAGGGACTGGCACCACTTCTACTTGTTGTGATTCAACCCTAGGCAGGTTGACATATGCGTGCGTCCCGTATCCAGGCAGGGACACCAGGTCAAGCGAGCCATGGAGGTATCTTGCGTACAATCGCGACAAGGGAAGACCTGCAAAAATGTTGCCAAGGGCTGCCGTGCATTCTCTCTTGTGCGCGGATCCTATGAAAACGTGAAAACACGCGACAGCGGCCCCATTGTGCCTACTCCATGACCGGCAAGCTTCTTTGTGCCACCATAGGCGCCATCCTCCGCCGTAGTGTACAAGTATGACCACGGGTTCGCCTCACGCGGAATACCACCCGCTTGATCAGCCACGCATATTGTCACGTGGTCTTCATCAGCGCAAATAACCACGTTGATGGGGAAGTCATCGGCTTGTAAGTCATGAGCGCTCAACATGTCCGTGGTTGCACGGCAACTGTTCTTGAGCAGCTCGCTGACAATATACTTCAAGACGTGCGGCATGTAAGGGAAGCGTGGAACTTGACCATCATCCGTGCCCTTGCCGCCGCAAGCCGAATGTGCGTTGACAAAGACGGAAGGTCTTCTTCCCGTGCATTCCCAGCACATATCCAGCACAGCCTTCGGAATACGGACATGACCGTGCCAGCGTTTGTTGAAGGAGTGTTAAAGGTTAAAGAACAGGAACAGCACAGAATACAGCACGGCCTACGAAATCAAGGTGTCATGCTCGTCCGTAGCCCTGCCTCCGCAGCTGCACGGCATACTCGTCTGGTATCACAGCGAGTATCGATAATTCCATTCCTTGCTACTGAGTCTGGAAGAGAGCCAAGTACACGCTGTGGATCTTTGTGGCATTAGGTTTGAGCAAGCATGTCGGTGATGCCTGTTGCAAGCCTAGGCTTGAGTGGACTTTTGCATTTGTCCTAAATGCTGCCGTTGCATCCGCTGACCTGCACGACAAGCCAAGTAGTGTCCCAGCAAAACTTGGCATCCGATGCGGTTTAACAAGAAATCGTCCAAGAACTGAGACCTTAGAGCAGTTTCATTATCCAGACTGCCAATGCAACCAAATTCTGTACGGGCAAACCTGTGATGCAGATTGCGGCACACGGAATCATCGGTAATGCCATCACCGGCATCGTCACGGAGATGGTGTACTGACTTCGCAAGTTTCTCCACAACAGTTTGCTCTCTCAGCAATGCCTGCCAATTGAATGAAGGCATCTGCTCCGCGAACTCGCTTCGAAACACGGCCAGAAGGAAAGCACGACCACACAAGATGACGTTGCAAGGAACCGGCACAACTGCACAATTGCCCTTCCGGGCGTCCCGGCCTGGTGTGTGACTTCGGCAAAATCGTCTAATTCAGAGACACGAAACGACTTGAAGGATTTTACGTGAATATCATGCACATCGACCAGGTCCGGTATCGCTTGCCACCGAGGCACCTTCCGGCAAACTTCCAATTTCGTGCTGCCTCCTATGTTTAAATTGAACCGATGCTTCAACCCCTGCACCTGCTCCAAAGCACGTATGCGCTCAGCGTACCGAATAGGCATCTCGAGGTGGAGAAACTCTGCGATTTGCCGCGGGTCCACTGTCGTGGTCAAGTATTCGACGCTCCTGATATGACCAGCATAAATGATGCATTACCACAGTGACAAACCACGAATATCAACCTGGCCGTGGTACCTGGGATGTGGTCGCATTGCGGCAAACGCGGCGATGTCCTCCGAACTCGCAACGTTAACCTCGATGTTTGTCAAAACCTAACTAACCCTCGTCATTACGCAGAAACAAAACTTGCATGACCAATATGGCTGAAGCTTAACAAACTCTTGCCAGTGAAGCAAGCCACCACTTGCGTGCCAAGCGATCGAAAACGCATGCCCCGCTGCCATTGAAATCCAGAGCGCAATCGATGGGCACCTCCCGCGATAGCTTTCATCCCGGAGTCGACCAGATGCCATACAGCAGCGGAACATCTGGAAGCTTCATCAGCCAAGTCATAAATTTCCAAATCTGGAGCTGGAACGGCTAGGCACTCCAGCGAGCCACGCGGCTGCCAACTGCTCCAAGTCCCTGTTGCGTGCCGCCTCTCGCCTTCAAAACAAATCACGGGTCGCAGTCACAAGGCTTGGGCTTTTACATGATTTTAGACGGCCTGGTCGGCTTACAACCGCGTCGCGTGCCAAACGTAGTTTGCGTAAAATTTGTTGACTTTTTTGGTTGAACTTTCCGACAAGATCAGTTTCGCCCGACTTCTAGTCGTGACAATCCAAGAAATTGTGAAGCAAGACGCTCCCCTGTGCTCCGGGACCGTGTGCCCCGGAACTGCATCCATGCTTGCTGCCCCCGCGTCGGCCTGCGGCGCACCCTGAGGGGCGCGATGCCACCTTCATTCGCGATGGGCCATGCCCAAGCAAACGGTGATTGTGCTGACATGTGCTGACTACCTGCGAGGCTGGCAGCGCCGGGCCACCACCCGAAAGGCACTTCGCTGAGCTTTCACCGGCGATCACCAGCGTTTCAGCCTCTGACGTTTGTATGCCAGAAGCTCGGCCGGTACTGTGGCGAGCGTGGTTGCGGCAGTCGCCGCTCCAAATCGGTGAGCGTACATCACGTGGCCTCCGTGCCAGGTGCGAGTTCCGCCGCAGTCAGCACTTGGCGAGCCCGTGAAAGCCCCCGGCGGACTTTTGCGCACGCCTGGTTCCGGCTCAGAGAAACCTCGTCGGGTGGCAGCCCGTGTTTTTGGACCGAGGAACGCAGCTGGGACGGCCTGGCACCGCGGATGAGCTGGCCCACTCTCCACGTTGGAATGCCCAGCGTCAGCATCGCCAGGGCCGACAGCCGTGGGGCAGTATGGAAATGTGTGGAGGTCGTTTGCCTCCCCTGCCGCGGTGCATAGAATTCTAGCATAGTTGTTTGCCGCTGGCGAGGTGGTGGTGCCGATTCGAAGGGGAGCCGTCATCCCGCACCGACCCGGCAGACGTCTCGAAAGCAGAATCGGGCGCGAGTTGCTTCTGCACCAACGCGTGGAAGACTGCGTGGCGACGTTGCGCCGCGTGGGCATCTCGTGGGGACGGCAGCGACAATGCGCATGCAGTGGCAGCGCTGAGATTGTGTGACAACGTCTGGTTGCTGCCCCTGACCTGATCATGGACTGGAGGCAAACCACGCCTCCCCGACGCGCCAGCCCCTATACGGATCAGCAGCACGTCGGGGCACTCGCGGGTTTGCGGCGGGATGCAAAGCATGAGACAACAAGCACCGCCGATAAACATGGATGAATTTCCAGTCCCTCCCACAAGCACCTCACTTTTTCTGCTCACCCTGCTCTCGCTGCTGGTCTCGCAGGTATAGCGTGCCGCGCCGACAAGAAATCCTGGGCTGCAGTAGCCGGCTCGGTTTTTGCCTGCCATGCCAACTCAGCTGGGCATTGTCCGGACAGCGTCTCAACTTGTTTGCCGATGTTTGCCGCCTTCGCCCTTGCCTTTCCCCGGTTTGGGGCTGCGGTATTGCCTTTGCCGTGGGTTCCCTTGTGGCAAAACTGAGGTGTCGTGGTAGCAGCGCGGTCTCTATTGCTTTTGCCGTGGGTTCCCTTGTGGCCAAACTGAGGTGGTGCGGTTGTGCTTGAGACCGCGCAATGAAGGAAAGATTTGTCATGGTAGCTTCAGTGTCTGCGGTTGTGCGTGCTGGGTTGCGGCTGTCTCCGCGGCTTCGGCTTCGCCCGCCTGCTGGGTCCATCCACTGCCGGAGCGTCCGGGCCAGTGTGCTCCATAAACACCTATAAGAGGAGTGATGTCAGCGGGCGGTCCACCATAGCAGGCAACTGGGAACTGCGCACCAGCCGCCGCAGGCCCTGAAAAGGTTGCGGGTCGAGGGGGCAAGAGTGGCTGCGGCACAGGACTGCAGCTGAAGAAGGTAAGCAGCAGTACATGCTCAGAGCGAGCTTGGGCAAACAGCCGAAACTGTTTTTGTTTCCGCACCCCCTCCCTCCTCCCATCCGTGCGTCGTGTGGGCCGAACTTCCGAACCCGCTGACAAAAGCATCCCAAAATATTCGAGACCTGCCCCTTCGGGAAGTCTGATACGAGGAATGAGGCCATACTGCCAGAACTCGGTTAACGGGAAGCTTACTGAAGAGTTTGTGGGGGGTTTCAAGGAGGCATGCTGGTCTGGAGGTCTTTTCCGTATTGAATACAACCACACGCGATCTGAGGATATCAACGTCATAAGATCCGTAAGCTAACAAAACAGAAAGGAAGGCGCGCGAAAAAAAAGTGCTGTAGCATGTCCAGGCCTCCGGCTTCCCGCTCACATCAAAATTTGCAAACCAACGTCGTGCAGATCCGCACGTACTTCAGTCGTACTTCCAATGCAGCTTGTCTTGTCCCCGGTGGGCTGCGCCGGCGCGCACCAAAAACGCCTCCCAGGAGCGTCGACGCCAAGGCGCGCTGCAAAGCGCAGCCCGGCTGTCTCCACCACTAGCGCCCGCGGCGCGCGCAGGGACCGCTGTCGCGCGAGGCGTCGTGCGAGGTCATGCGCCTCTTGGCGCCAGCGTTCTCCGACCTCGGCCGCCAGCACGACGTGGCGCCTCGGCGCCACATCGATGGCGGCCCCGTCCCGATCCGGTGAGGCTGGTTGCGGGCACCCGTCTGCGGCAGCGGCGACACCAGATGACACCAGGTTCACATCGCAGCAAAGCGTCTCGCCGCGCCGAGACGCACCATACGCACCATAAATGACAAGGTCGAGCCGGCGCCGGTCATCTTTTGTTTTTGTGCTCGCGCACCTTTTTCCGTCTGGTCCGCCTGCGCGTCGGCGGAGCTATCTGACGGCTTCCTGGCTACAGGACGCCCACGGCGGCTCCGCCAGGAGCTCTCCCAGCGGCAGCTCTGCACCGTCGCTGGCGTCGCTGGGCCGAATCCACCTCCAGCGGCTTTGCGCGTGCACGCGCAAGGCCGCGAGCGCTGCGAGGGCGGTCCAGCGGCGCTGAGCGCGGCGATTGGTGCGGCCCGCGCCCACGCGACCCGGTCCCGCGGGCGCGAGCGCGAGCAATCCGCCGGAGCAGCGCAACCGCTTGACGATCGAAGCGCCCGCC